GCAGAGAATATATAAGATTAAAAAGAAAAGATAATTTTCTTCCCTGACAATTCTAACAATCATAAAGGGACAGTAAAAGGCTGGACACTCCACTTGCTTCAGAGGCCTGGGACAAAAGCCAGCAGAAGAAAAGAATTCTTAACCAGCTGGCTGGTGTGCTCAGTGGATTGAGCATCATCCCATAGACTGAGAGGTCCTGATTGAATTCCCAGTCAGGGCACTTGCCCAGGTTTCCAGCTTGATCCCCAGTAGCGGGTGTGCAGGAGGCAGCCAATCGATGTTTCTCTCTTTCTTGCTCTCTTAAAAAAAAAGAGAGAGGAAGGTAAAGATGTCTCCTGGAACCATCCTTTCTAAATTCAGATTATCAAGAGAAAAACCTTTGTAACAAATACATTTGTATGCTTTTTTCTTGTTAATCTGCCTCCTTTTACAGGGGCCTCAGCTCAGAATTTAGAAGGGAAATAAGAAAAAATATTTTTCCAGCCCTGCAAGTCTGTTGATTCCTTTTCATGGATACTGTTAGAGAGTTTGCCTTCCCCTCATGTTTTCTGCCTGCTTCAGGTGAGATCTACCATATTGTGGCAGCCTTATTATTTAATCATTTCCCTGGAGTGGAATCAGAACATTCTGGTGAAGAGTGTGATCAGATGAGGTAATACTAGACATGTAGGTGGAATAATTATCAAAAATCAGGTCCAAAAGTTCTATCTTATAAAACTTTCTTTAAAAGAAAAATGTACATACAGACATAAACCAGTTTTGTTTGTTTACACTAAGGGTTCACTCTCTTGAAATCTGGATACCTAATTTTGGGTATTAGATTTTATTCAGATAATTTAAACCACTCTGTGCCTTTAGTTTCCTCATCAGTAAAGAGTGGTGGCATTAATGTTAAATAATGAAAATGTAAGTACTGTTTTTGCATCAAGTGCCAATTAACTTATATTGTATTTAACTTACTATTATAGGAGAAGTACTGTAAAAGTCTTCAATTTGGTTAATCATTTTCTCAGTTGCTTTCTTTGTGGGAGCCATCTTCTGTGTCTATTTATAGTCAAGCCATTCTTAGGACTTGACATGGCAAGAAAAATCCCACAGAACAGTATTATAGAGCCATTATCTACTCCTACCACACCCTGCTGACTTGCACAGCTGGACACCCCCCACAAGTTTGCATGAGGTACTCTCACTAATTAACCCTGGACTAGGAGTTTTCCTCTAACTGTTCCCTGGCCAAAATAGCTTAAGGTCCTTGAAAGCTCCACAAACACTCCTATAATTTTGTTATATCATTTTGTAACAGATGAAAGAACTGAAATTTAAAGAAGGAAGCAGAAGTATATTCCAGTTTTGCCAGTGAGGGTGGGTTTTTGAAAGAAAATTTTGAAGAGTAAGATTTTCTTTAAGGAGAGTCAGCATCTCATTTTCTCCCGTTACTTCAGTGGTTTGTCAGTTCTTCAACCAACAACTTTTCTTAGATTAAAAATTATTTTTCTTTGTTTTTTTTGCTAGTTAGCAAATTCAGATAAGTAGAATTACTGTGCCTGACCTCAAGATGAAAACCAACTGGTTATATACCAATAAAAAGATGAATAGCCACAGAATGTAGAAAGTAATTCCCTGACTAGCCACAGAGAGGGAAGTACCAAAGCTGAAAGGGAGAGTGTGCAGAAGTTGGGGAAGGCTTCCCAGGAGGAGAATTCTTGTTCTGACCCTCCACTGCTTCTGGAACTAAGGCACCATATCTTTGTTGCTTGTATGTCTCTCCCACTACAATGTAATCCAGTTGTCATTCTTGTTAGTATTCCCAGGTTTTAGGACAATACTTGACCTCATTTATGGTCAGTATGTACATTTTGAATGTTGAAGTAAATGAAGCAAAGACTCTTACATATAACTCTCTTCTTGACTAGACAGGGTTTTGACTGTTTCAAAATTTGAGGCTTTGTCAGCCCTCTATTTTTTGGTCCAAAGACTGTCTGAAACCAAGGAAGAAAACATTTCCATGTATAGATCTAGTGGCTACAGAAAAGAAGCACTTTCAGAAGTTAGAGATGTGCCTCTGAGGAAACTGAACCCCGGGAAGGTCCTGTTCCTACAGTATTAAATTATCTTTTGAGACTGAGCTAGATGCTTACATGGATTTCTGTGTAATCTTCTTTCTTTCAAGCTTCTATTTTGGCATAAGCTGTACATACCCCAGAACTGTTTATCCTAATTATAATTTATAGGTGACAGTGAGATAAATGTGTCCATCACCAAATGTGACCGTTAGATGCTTTTGAAATAACTAATACCTTGTACTATATAGTTATTTACGCATATGTCTCCTTCATTAGATTATTTTTTAATCCTCACCCGAGGATATTTTTTCATTGATTTTTTAAATTTATTTATTTATTTATTTTAGATGAAGGGAGAGAGAGAGAGAGGGAAACATTGATTGTGAGAGAGACACATTGATTGGTTGCCTCCCGCATGACGGGTCCAGGGATCAACCTGCAAGCTGCCTTTGACTGGGATTGAATCTGCCACCCTTCGGTGCGCAGGCCGATTCTCTAACCACTGAGCCAGACTGGACAAGGCTCCTCCATTAGATTAAAACAATTTTTTAAAAATATTTTTTATTTATTTTTTAGAGCCAGAGGAAGAAAAAGGGGAAGAGAGAGAGAGAAACATCATTGGCCGCTTCCTGCACGCCCCCAACTGGGAATCCAACTGGCAACCTTTTGGTGCACAGGACAATGCCCAACCAACTGAGCCACACTGGTAGGGCACCCCCATTAGATTTAAACTTCTTGAAGTAATGTTTTATTTATTTTTGTATTCTTATTGCTTAGCAAAGGATGGCACGTAGTAGACCCTTCACTAGTGTTCTGTAGCAACTCATTTCAATACCCTTGGCATTATTCTTATCTATCAGGGAAAGCAAATAATTTGAGACATAAAAACCAAAGTTTTGGATTGGGCCCAGATGACATTTAATCACTTTTTCTGACTTTAGTAATAAAATCAGTGCCTTTTTGAAGCCTTTTCTGGTGTGCAAGGCCACTACGATTTATGATGGCAGAAGGATGTGTATCACTTTCACCTGATGACTGTACAAAGTATTTCATTGTGGCTTGCAAAAAAAGAAGAGCTAAAGTGAGGCTGTGTTTTATGCTATTTAGGATTGGGAAATCAATTAGTCATGAAAACATTTTTTTTTCATTCTACTTTTGGAGATCATAGGCTTTTCAGAAGCATTAATAAACAAACTCAGGCCTATATACTTTAGACCTTCAGGCCTTTTCTTATGTGGAGTCAATTGATTGATATATGATATGAGTTTTACATTATTCTTGAAATATGACATCATTAGTGGCATTAGTGGTGCTTTGCTCTGCTGGGCAGTGGGGTTGGTGTGAGAGTGAGAGATCTAGACTTAGAGTTAATTGAGGAAAAAGTGTTGTATTAAATATTGAAACTTTACATTAAAAAACAGAAAATATATATTGCCTTAAGAAATGTATAGGCCTGGCTGCATAACTCAGTTGGTCAGACTGTCATCCCGATATGCCAAGGTTGTGGGTTTGAACCCCAGTTAGGGCACATAAAAGAATCTAAGAATTGACCAGTGAATGCATAAATATGTGGAACAACAAATTGATGTCTCTCTTTCTCTCCTCCCCTCTAAAATTAATAACAATTAAAAACAGAAATGTCTAAATTTGTAGCGAATTTTTATGAGTTTATTTGAGCCAAACTTATGACACATGCCAGAGAGTAAGATCTCAAATGCTCCAGAGAATAACAATTTGCAGTTTATTCTGTGCATTTGCTATGAAGGAAGGAGCATTAGGAAGATCACTTGAGGGTGGGAGAAAGCAAGATGGGATTGGATTACAGAGTAGTGATTATTTGCTCTTTTGAGGGTGTTTACTTCTTAGAAGGAGGGGTTTGAAAAGAAGCATTTTAAAGGTGTGTTAACCTACATACATGGAAGGAATGGACAGGGCTTGCTTAAGGCAAAGATAGGCCTTTTACTAAAAAGTTATGTGCCTGGAGTGTGACTTCCCACCATGACCTGCCCAGTTAGTAATTTGTGATTTATTGCAGCATTCCTGTTCTCTGTGTGTGTGTGGTTTTGGAAAATGAGGATTTGCAAAAGAAATACGATCTACTTTGAAGGAGATAATCTCAGGAAGTATTTTAGTATGGATTGGACCTACCTATCAGAATCAAATTTTAGCATTCATGGTGGCAAAAGGTAAAATCTTAGTGGCTTGGGCCTTATCATGGTTGCAATACATTATCAATACAACTATATATAATGGTATTGCATTTTATGGGCAATTTGGCCTGATGTCTGAAAAAACTGAAGTTGTCTTGATGTCTGAAAGTCATGAAAAATTAACCCAATTGGTTTATAGGAATCTGTTTTCTATAGTTTTCTCTCAGAAGCCACACAGGAAGCAACTTATCATCGGCTGATCACTAAGCCTGAAGACCCAATGTTGTTCACTTGCTGTCTCTTTTCTCCTTAAGATAAGGTTTTTATATTCTTGTCAGTTTGTTTTAATGTGTGAGTAGGGTGTTGCTTGTTAATATATTTTGGCTTTTTGTTTATATTTATAGCTTACTGCCACTCCTGAAACAAGACATAAATTGCCCAGATATTGTAAAGATAGGTGATGGTAATGATAATGATTTTTAACACTCATGCCACATTTAAAATGGGCAATTATAATAAGGCAATTGTATTTTTATTATCCCGGTTTTTCAGGTAAGGAAACTGAGGCACCAAAGGTTAAATAACATGCCAAAAGTCTTGTAGCTATTAAGCGGTTGAATTGGGATTCAAACTCAGGCATTCTGGCTCTATAATCTATGCTGTTAACCACTATTTTATACACTGCCTTTGAGAAACTGATTTTGACTTGACGATGAATATAATGGGTGAGTAGGAGATTGGTAGGGAAGCCGTTCCAAAGAATTTTTAAAATTATATGGACATAGACCTGCTACTACAGAACGTATACAAAAATTGGAATGATACAAAAAAGATTAGCATGACCCCTGCTCAAGAATGACACGCAAACTCATGAAGAATTCTATATTTTAAAAAATATATGGACTTGGGACTATAACTAGCAACAGTGAAGAGGTCCCACTCCATTTTGTTCGTAACATTTTAATCTCAACATGATCATCACATGTGTAAGAATAGTCTAAGTGGTATTTAGGATATATAGTTTAAGAATAATTATAGTTTTACGTTTAAGAATAGTGTTTATAGTGTTTATGGTGATGTTTAGGATAAGTTTAAGAAAACAACCACTTGATTCTTGATCTAAGATATCTAAGATCATATGGACATAGGGAAATAAACTGAGATAATTAATTACCTATAAAATCATTTATACTGGCTTCTGATTGAGATGCTTGCATGACTATTTTTCCCTTAAGACATATTTTTAAGGTGCATAAAGACTGGATTATGCTTAAATATTCATGTGGCCAAAGCTTTTCTCTTTCATTAAGAGGCCATCTTGTGAGAAATTAGATACAATAGAGCAGTCATTTCAGCCTCAATTTTCCATTAGGGGAAGCTTTGTCACTAACTCTGACATTAAAATCATCTGAACTTATTGTTCGAATTAATAGAATCTTAGACTGCATAAATTTCAACGGACTATTCTGTTGATATCAGATATCTCAGAATCAACATGTGTACTAATAAAACAAAGAGGAAGAATATAGATTGTCAGACATGCTCAACTGGCATTGTTTTGGAATCACACCAAAACCAGGAAATTACTAGTGGCTGTGCCAAGTAATGAAAAGATATCTTTTTAATATTAATGGCGATCAGCACTCTTGGGCCATCATTACTCCTGCCACAATGACTTTACAGTTTCTCTACTCAAGGGAAGGGTCTAAACAATGCCTTGAGCATGTAATAATTTACTTGATAAAGTCCAGGTTTTTGATAAACAAGTCGTATTAAACTCTAGCCCAAATTAGTTAACAGGTGATAAATCTTGCATTTACTGCCTTATCTTATTACATTAATTAATATTGGTAATACAGTGACAGTTATTGAGTGCCATTATGTGCCAAGGACTTGTGAAGTGCTTCTGTATGGACATGTCCACTTGTTATCGTGGCTAGGATTATTATTTCACAACTGTTGCTTGAATAAGAGCTAGCCTTGAAAGGCCAAGTTTTTTTGGTTTTGCTTGTTTGTTTTTTTAGAATTTTTATGAGTTTATTTGAGCCAATGACAATTGCTGGGAAGCAAGGGACTGAGTAGTGCTTGGGAGGATGGCAGTTTTGTAGCTAAAATATTTTATATATTCGAATAAAAGGAAGAGATGTAAGTGGAGGTTACATGGACTCCATCAGTGGTAGATTAAGGGGGTGGGAGAAAGCAAAATGGGAGAAAATATCTAGGATTGGATAAAAAGCAAAATGGAGAGAGACATACTTCTTTTATGTTGGTCAGGTACAGGATAGTTAACATTTACAGCTCACAGAGATGGTATGGGCAACAAGATAACAGTGAGGTCCTCTCTTGCTCTGGTTCCCACTGTTGTGCCTTGAGGGGTCTGGAAAAGAAAATCACTGTAACATTGCTAAAGTATGTTATCTTATATTCACAAAGACAACAGATAGTCTTACTTAAGGTAAAGATTAACCTTTGTCAAGGAAGCTACAGGCTTAAGGAAAAACCAAGTTATTTAGAGAAGGCCTTTAAGGGGAGAAGGGAGGGCTGCTGCTCTGAGAAGGGCCAGGAGGCTGCAGAGGTTGACAGTGCTTTCAGGTTGGGGAGAGTGGAAAATGACGATGAGATCTCCTTGGTGTGGGAAGAATCATAGAAAGAGATTTAGGAAGAAATATGCTGAGGGACAGGGGAAGGGGTAGTCTCCATCATTGGAGTGGAAATTAGTTTGGTTAACTATGATTCTGTCTGAAATAAGCAGCCCATCCAGGTGTGAGCTTGAGAAAAAGAACAGGGTTTAGTGGTTACACCATGAGTTTGAAGAATGGTAAGGACTAAGCCCTATATTTTCTTTAGAACTTGCCTAAGAACTTTGTATGAGGCTGACTCTCAGCATCCTATAAATATGAGCTGTGTATTTTGTTGTTAGGGAATTCCTTTTCCTAGCCTATGAACAAAAATGGGTGTTGTGTTTCCTTTATTGTCTAGTTATTTGTCAAAAACCCTAGGCATGCATTTCTCTGTATCTCTAGTAAAGGAAAGATACCTAGAGGAAACTTCAAGTAAGCCAAATATATATAAAAATTATAAGAATTATACCAGGAAGTGCCAGGATCACTCTGCAATAGTGATTACCCAGAGTGACCAAATGAAAGAAGGACTATGAGTCCTATGTTCTGACAATGATGTCAGTGCTCAAGTGGAACACTGACTACACAGGCCCACCCTCATTCCTCAGGAGAGTGTGCCTCTGAATGACCCTACCAATTCTAATCAGATAATAATGAAGCAAAATGATGTCAATAAAAAACTACAGAGGGACATCCTGTGGGCCAGAAGTTAATATATCCTGAATTCGAGAAAGAAGATAGGAAGCACCAGAGGAGGAAAGCTGGGACTATTGTATTTTGCTATGTGTAAGCAGTTTCCCTGCCATGACTCTGAATTTTGGCCAGGCATTATTTCATTACTGATTTCCTCAAGAATGAAAGGTTCTTCAGTACATAAGACTTGGAGGCAGATTAATACCATTTGTGGGATAATCTTGTATCTATGTAAAAGGTTACACTGCCTGCTGAGTCTCAATTTCTGTATCTCTAAAATGGGTATAAGCAAAGCTGTGAGATATTAAATGAGACGATATATGCAAGGTTCCCGGCACTTAACAATTGCTTGTTTTCTGTCTTGAGCATCTTCAGACATAATTTTATTCATTCTTGATACTGAGGAAGGGAGGAGTGATTATGACATGTAGATCACCTGAGCTCTCAGCTTTTCTGGAGGTTTTGATCCTCTAGCCACACTGGGTAGCTGTTACCCATTTGTTATCCATCCAGTGAAACCACCTTCCATAGAACAGTGTGTTTCAGCCTGAAAGGGTTACTTGTTCCTGATGATTGTGGTTTGAGGTGGAGCATGTTAAGGATGAATAAAAACTGAGTGGCATATGATGTGTGATTAATATCTTTCAGATTGTTTACATAGTGATAGCTAGATTACTTCTGAGCACAAGAGACTTCAGAGCAAAATGTTTGTTATGTACCTAACAAAAATCACAATAAGAGGGAATATTGCTCTTCTAGCTTGGCACCCTTTTTCTGCTATCATTTCCCTTTGCACTATCTGCCATACCTGAGGCTTTAGCCAAAGATATGGTAATATGGGTTGATTGGCATTTAATCAGAGTAAAACCTTTGCTAGGTAATGCCTTGCAGATTTTATTTTGCTAAAGTGGATGTTTGACTGGAATGAGAAATACTATATATTAAAGAGTAAAGGAGGTACTCTTGTTTTCTTTTAAATATGATAATTAGTATTAAAACTCTTATTCCTGCCAGTTGGCTCATCTCATCTCCTAGCAGCTGTTGGAAATTCCTTAATTGTCTATTGCTTACTCAGCTATCATTTCACAGATTTCCTCACTGCTGCATTTTTTGCTGGAGCAAATTCTGACCAAGAGGGTGTTCATCTCAGAGGCTGGGCTAGGCTGAGTTCTAGTTACCTTATTTCAGTAACAAGATTAGCTGTCACTAGTATATTATCGGGAGGCAATATTTTCCTATATCTCCTTGGAATTGATTATTGTAAAAAGAGCATTTGGTGGAACATTGTGGGGCCAATTGTGTTATTCTTCTTTTTACTGATATTGTTTGAATTCTATTTAACCCAACATTGTCTTTTTTATGTTTCTAAAGCAATTGCAGTTTACTATAGGATTTACATACAGTATATACACTCTCATGTAATCCCATTGCTTCTAATTTTGTCCAGAATGAAGAAAGTGAACATTTCAACCATAGCATTTTCATGCCAACAACCATTTCACTTTGTTCAATGTATCATATTTTCTATTAAAATACTGTAAAATTTATCTGTGGATAATATATACCCCTGAGATTAAATGGTCTGTTCTTTCCAGAAGCATCAACACAGCATATTCTTCAAGCATTAGGTTTAAGTGCAATATATTATTGAAGCCTTATTGAATTGGCTTTCAGATACTTTGCATTTGGGTAGTACAATGATATGTCACATTATATATGAATCTTCCATAACGTGATCCACTACTTTCCTAATGATGTGAAAGCTGGTAATACAAGCCCAAGTTTCTGTTTATATATCAAATCACCACCCTTTATATCTTATAGTCATGCATTGCAGGAATGTTTGTTTTATAATTTAGAGTGACTTTGTCTTTTTTCCTTGATTCAAAGTTCAATCATAAGACAATTAACAAATTTGTTCACATTTTTCTGCTGTAATATGTTCTTGTCTCCAATGTGAATAAATGCGACAGATAATTTGTAACCATTTTAATTACCCTAATTTAATTTTAAATAGACAATTTTTTCATATAAGAAGAGACAAAGGAAATGGTCATTGGTTTAGACACCTAGATTTTGAAACACTTGCTTTAAATAATTGTGTGCTTTTAGGCAAATCATTTCACTACCCCATTTCAGTTACTCTCACTATAAAAATGGGACCAGTAATACCTAACTCAAAGCGGTCTTGAGAAGATTAAATGAAATCATGGTGATAGTAACCTATCATAGGTTACCATAAATTTTATAGCAGGCACTTTAAAATGCTGTCTTCCTTACTTTTTGTCTGTTAGGAAGAGTGTCTCTTTTATTGATTATACTTTTGCATCAAGGGGAAAAAAATCCCTGTCTCATATAAAATTTCTTTGGAAATGCATAAATTTAGTGTGGGTCTTCTAATTCTGTCAAATTAGAATATTGATTTTGAATTTATTGCTGTAAATTTGCCAAATGAAAAGTAAGTTTTATGCGACTCCTTTCAAGTCACTTCTGATATATCTTGAGCAAACAAAGTCTGTATTTTTTTAAGTCTGTATTTAATAATAGTTTACTAATTGGTGCTACTAACTCAACAC